CGCCACACACACACACACATACACACACACACACACACACACACACCAGTGAAAATTGATCTGATTTCATATCTACTTTTAATATTGATATTCTTTACTACTAGGTACAAATTTTCCTCATAATCAGGTATCTGTAGTTATTAAATTCATAAATATTTTCCAAACAATACATCTATTTTTATTTGGGGAATAGGAAAATTGATTTCTTATTCCTGTATGTGGAGGATTATCTTGGAGATTAGCTGTTATTTTCTGATTTAAATGATTTCCTATGATTTATGCAATTTTCCATGAATGTTTTACACATCATACTCTTTCATAGTTCATGTGATGGTATATGATTGTATGTGATTTTTATATAATTTTATATTATTTGTATGTTCTTGTGCCTGTGTTAACATATATCCCCAAGTGAAGGCCTCTAAACCCAAACGGGATTTGTAAGGATCGGGAGACCCTGTTTATGCTATGGCATTCAACTTGAGGGGAAAATCCTAAATGGACAGGTATTTCTTGGAATTTTGTTGGTTTAGATGCTAGAGATACTTTGTAAATAACAGAAATGCAGTTTGTTCTTCCAGATTCAACACTGACTCAATTATATTTTCAGAGTCCTTGGCCAGAGTTCCTAAGCAGACATCCTTATTGTCTGCATCTTGTGCTTCTTACATTGCCTTGTTCTCTGGTGCTTGTTTTCCTGATCTTTTAACTTTGTTTAAAGGAGAATATTTTTAAAGGGACATTTATTATATTATTTTTATAATATCAAGTTAAATGATAGTATTATACAATGCATTTTCTTAAAAAGTTTTTAAAGGTAAAGTATGTGATTATGTATTTGGAAATATGTGAGTTATTGATTTAGATGTTAGATTTAAAAGAAATACACTGTTAAGGATTTTTTTTGAGGAGTCTCACTGTGTAGCCCAGGCAGATCTGGAACTCAACTGTGTAGCCCAGGGTGTCTTCAAACTTATGACCTTCTTGTCTTAGCCTCCCTAGTGTTAGGATTATAGACATGTGCCACCATGCTTGGCCAAATATATTCTATTAAATAAAGTGGTTTAGGAGAACATAAAAGAGTAAAATAAACTTACAAGTGAACTAAAGAGAAAAAAAGTATATACATTTTTGAAGTTCTAGCAGTGAGATAAGCTAAGAACACATTGGGTATACAAACAAATGAATCAAAAGGTTCAGCTAAGGGAAAACCATCTACCACTTTTTGTTGCCTCCAATATAAGAACTAGACTCCATTCATTATGACATTTTAGTAATTAAAAACTACATGAAAATGGAATAAATAGTAACAGTAAATAAGTAGTAAATAGTACTTAGTCCTGTGAGCACTACATTGAAGGAGGAATTGTGGAAAAGTTTGACTAGAATACAAAACCAAGACAATGCAGAAGGAAGCAAGGTGTGGTAGTGCACACCTGTAATCCTAACACTTGGGAGGCAGAGGCAGGAGGATCATGAGTTCAGGACTAACCTGAGCTACGTACTAAGACCCTGTCTCAAACAAACAGAAAAAGATAATGCAAAAGGTCTTGAGTGGTTTCAGATATATATTAAACTGACAAGCTTAAAAGTGTCTCAAGGATACTCATTGCCCTTTCTCATGCTGACAGAGTGTTGTAAATGTATTGTCTTCCTGCCTTTGCTCCCTAGAAGGACAAATTAGGGAAGTCAGTTTATCACTTAGAAATATAAGGTATCTTTAATTTAAAATTGTTCTCCCAACTCAACTGGTGTTTTTCAATAGTCACTGCCAATAGGTCTCAGAAAGTTAGAGAATCTTCTGGACATTCTATGAAATAGTACTTGTTTACTTAAGCAAAAAATGTCAATAGCAGCTGTACGTTACTAGACTTGGGTCTGGGCTGATTGCTGCTCAAAAGCCAATATTTGGAGGGCTTTTTGTTTTGTTCTGTTTTGTTTTGTTTTGTTTTGGTGATACTGGGGTTTGAACTTAGGGCTTCATGCTTGCTGGGCAGGTACTCTGTTGCCTGGCCATACCTCCAATCCTTGAAGGCAAATTTTTGGAGTAGAAAGTTTATTGGAAGGAAACAAATTTTATTCAAGGGCTAGTATCCTAAGAAGATAAAGGGATCATCATCCTCAAAGATTCATCTTGGCAAACTCAGAGGAACAAAGGGCTCTTACAGGTAGGTAAAGGAGATCCAATGAGAAAATGGGCAGGATGGCTTCATGCTGAGTAGGGTCTTCCCCATATGGGTCATGAGGCCTTTTCTTCCTCTAGCTGGAATATTGCAATTGACCTGGGCCTCCTGGGGCTAGTTTTTGTATTTTTTTCTTTAAACAGACATACTCCTCTTTTTTTGTTTTGTTTATGCATTAATAGGGGTTGAACTCAGGGCCTTGCACTTGCTAGGCAGGTACTCTATCACTTGAGCCACAAACCCACCCTAATTTAAATGCTTTTTGTGTTAGTCATACACACAACTAAATGCTAAAGAGAAGCATTACACATTCTAGGTCTGAAGGTCACCAGATATTCTGGGTTCTGTAAAGCTGAAGAAAGACTATGTAGCAGTTAACATCTTAAGTCATTTAATGTGGCTTATCTTTAGAAATTACATTGCAGAGAAAAGGGAAAGGATTTAATCCCTGCAAAAGGCATAGGAAGGGGAAGCAACTTTGTGGAAGGGCAGTGAGAAGGGAAGTAAAAATAACTCTGCCAAGAACAACAGGAATGGCCACTGTTACAAAAAGTTCTGTTCTTTAGACTAGAAGCATGGCTCAAGTGGTAGAGAGTTTACCTAGCATGCTTGAGGCCCTGGGTTCAATCACCAGTACCACTCTTCCCCTACTCCCTCCTCCAAAAAAAGACCTGATCTTTGAAATCAGGCAGAACTGGGTTCAGATCAGGGCTCTGTCTCATGCTGGTGATGTTACCTTGAGCAAGTAACCTGAGCTTCATTACCTGAACTTCAGTTTCCCCATGTAGAAAACCTACCATTATAGGACTGTGATTTTCATCACTGTTTGACATTTAATGGCAATTCAATAAGCAAGCTGGAACTGAGAGTATTTCATTGCTCATAATATATACTATCCTTTCAGCTACCTCTGAAATGCACCTAATCAAGTAAGCCATTAGCAGATAGCTTGCAAAATTAAATGTATGCAGTAGAGACACTTGCACACCAACATTTATTGATGAATGGTTCAAGAAAATGTGATATATATATATCACATTTTCTTGAACCATTCATATATAGTTCCACCATTTTATATAATGGACTTTGACTCAGCCATAACAAAGAATGACACCATGTGGTTTGAAGATAAATGAATGCAATTGGAGGACATCATGTTAAGTAATTCAGGTTCAGAAAGATAAATGCTGCATATTTTCTCTCATATATGGAAGATAGATCCAAAAGATAAACATATACACAAAAACAAACATGATCATATACAAACATATATGTAGAATATGTTTGTAATAGTGAAACTACACTGTGGAACTTGGAGAATGATATTGTGTCAACAATAGCATAATACATAACATCTGTGATGGTAGAGGATATAAGAATATATATTGAAAGCTATTGAAAAATGGGGGTGGGAAGGAAGGGGTAAGGGAGAGCAGTAGAAGGGGTTAAATGACCAAAGTAAAGTATACTCACAGTGAGAATACATCAGGAAACCCCTTTGAACATCGACTTACAAATTAATAACAAAAGACAGCACTGTAAAATAGATACAGCGGTGTGGGGTGGGGATACTTGTAGAAGGGGAAAGGGTGAGCAAAGGAGATTAAGATGGGGGAATATGATTGATGAACTTCATGTACGAAATAGAACAATGAAACTTCTTGTAATTGCTTTAAATGGGGTGGGAGGGGCTTGCAGGGGAGAGATGGTTTGGGCAGTCTAACCAAGATACAATGCAGGCCAATCAGAAGTATCACAATGAATGAATCCCTCCTGAACAACAAATGTATCCTAATAATAAAAAAATTGTTAAAAAATTAAATGTATTCTATTATCCCAATTTCTGGTTGGAGAAAATAAATATGGGAAAGGGAATAAACTCCATGATTAAGCAATCATTTCTAGTAACTACAAACAAAAAGGCGTTTTAATTATATGCAGACACTGGCAGAATTTAAGATAATTGGAAAACCTTAAAGCATTCTCCAGATAATTTGTTTGTAATGGACGGCTATAGTGAAAGCCTTTCTGATTAATGTTTAAGCATTTTTCCTTTTTTAATTAAATGTATTTTTAACTGATAACATTAAAATTGTACATATTGATGAGGTAACATGTTTTGCTGTATGTGTATATTGTATAATATTTAAATCAGTTTAAACACATCTACTTCTGAAACATTTATCTTCCTTCATGGTAAAAACTTTCAAAATCCTTTTACCTAGCTTTTTTGAAATATACATTATCATTACCTACAGCCACCCTATTGTGCAATAGCATACCAGAACCTCTCACTCCTATCTCATTGTAACTTAATACACTAGTGTGTAACTTAGTACACACCTTTCCTCATTCCCTTCCTCTGCCCTACTCTCCCTGATCTCTGGTAATCACCATTCTACTCTCAAGTTTTATGAGGTTAACTCTTTTAGATTACACATATGAATAATATCATGTGATGCTTATCTTTCTGTGCCTTTCTTATTTCACGTAACATAATCTCCAGTTCCATTCATGTTGTTGCACATTTTTAATTTTCATTTAAAAGTGATATTAGGTAAATTATAAAATATATACTGATTCTAATGAACGGCCTGTCTTCAACACATATAGCTTTTTCTGAGTTTATACTTTAGAAAAGAACAAAGCACAAGCAACTTACTATCTTTTGTGACTAATGCTCTAAAAAAAATGGATTTTCTAAAAAAGTAAACATTTAAATGTGTTTTTCTTATTTACAGCTCACCAGGACATGATTATAGCTTCTCGAGCTTATCCAAAATAAAAGATAATATATATATCAACATTTTTGATGAAATGATGATTGAAAAACATGAGGTAAAATAGAATAAGTATAATCAATGTTGAAATCTAAGAAGATAAAAATGAATGAAATCTAGGAATGCATTTATAAATTTATTTTTAAATTCAGTATCTATATGCAATGTTTTCTAAAAAGATTTGAGTAAACCTGCAATAAAATCAGACATGACAAGTTACTCCAAAAATAACAGATCATAAACTATATAAGAGGAAGAGGTATAACCATATCAAGAACTTGGAAGACATAGGTTTTTGCAATTGAATATTGCATATAGATATGAGCTTCTTGGTAGTGAAGACAGAAAGATAAACAAAAATAAGTTACATATTTCTCATCTAATCAGAGAAAACACACCACTTCTATAAGAGATCAAATTGTTTCTAGGACAAAGTTACTGAATGTCTTCCCCATGCATTAGTAAAAACTCCTAACACAATGCCTAACACCATAGCAAACTTTGAGATAAATCTTAGTTTGCTTCCTGCTGAGCTCGGCACTAACAATAAAAAGATGAATGCACTTATACCTACTCTTTTGGGGTAGGTAAATTAAATGCTTTCAAATAAATGCTTATCAAATTCTATGGCAGCTTTATTGGAATAAGTTCGAAAGCCAATATTCAGAATGAGAATTTGTAGGAAAGATTCAGGTGTATTTAAAGGCTGGGCCTATAGTAGATGAAGGGGATATCACAATGTAATCAGAGTTCCATCTTGAGGAACTCAGAAGTGCAAAGGGATTTTATAGAGAAGAAAAGGATATAGTGAAACAAGGGACAGGTAGATTACATGCTGAGTGGGATTCTTGTCATCTCAAGAGTGTCTCCTTTTTTCTGGAACATCACAATGGACCTGATCTCCTGGACTAGCTAGCTCCTGCAGTTCCTTTTAGACAAACATACTACTTTTCTGCAAGTTAAACCTTACAGCAATGTACATGTTTTGTATTACTTGGTATGTGGAACTAAAGACTAAGGAGAGGCATTGCAGAAGTCATCAGATGTTCTGGGTTCTATAAATCTAAAGAAAGATTTGCATCTGACAATTTCGATGAGGCTTCTCTTTAGAATTTGCTGGAGAAAAGGGAAGTAGGGATAAACCTTGCAAAAGGATGAGGGTAGAGCACAACAACCTTATAGAAGGGCAAAGGGAGGTAAAAGGAACTGTGCCCATGACAGCTCCACAAAAAAGTGGCCCTGTTATAGCAATACTATTGAAGAAACAATTAATTCTATGTGGAGGGACTGATGATCCAGGTCAGAGAAGATGAATGAGATCTATAGTTCAGGACTGAGCTTTCTATTTAAAACAAAACAAAACAAAAAAACCACTTTTCCAGGAGAGATCACACACATTCTTATTAAAACTTTTAAATCAGGAGTGGGGGTGTGGCACAAGAGGTAGAAAAGTACTTGTCATACAAGAGGCCCTGGACTCAATGGTCTGTTGGAGGGAAAATATTTTCAACTCTTGATAAAGGCTAAGGTAAAATATTAAAGAGTAACTTGGTCATGACTTTTACTGAAGGAGTTAAACTGAGTAGTTTTCTGATTATCTAAACTGATAACGAATAGAGTTTAGCAAACCCAAAAGAATGCCCAATAGATTTTTTTCCTCTCAAAAGTGTATTTTCTCAATGACCAATTTGACCAGAATGGAATTGCTATTAATTAGCAATTGAACTCTTGAAGTGCTTTGTATTGTTATTGGAATGAAATAAGTATGAAATAAGTATGTATCAAACTTGTTTATGACAATGTTAGCATGCTCCTCTCATGTACTGGGCTGTATGTAACTATCGGCTAAAACATTTAATTTTGTCAGAAAAGGTTACAACTAGGCTGAGCCACAAGGTAGCTACCCAGTTGAAAGAAGATTTTGATTTATCATTGATCACTATTTTGTTAAGAAATGCCTCACAAATTACCTCTTTATCTTATAGTTTTTTCCTTCCTGTTTTCACCATGACATGGGGGCCCAAGGAGGTCCTTGGGTGGAGGGAACCTCAACTCAGGCTGTGAGAGTCCTTGACTTTGCTGCATAAGAGAATTTAAGGATGAGTCAAACATGAGATTTAAGTAGAATTACTAGCAAGCAAAACAAGTACTCATAGAGGTAAAGTGTGGCATAAAAGAGTCATATTCTGTCTTAGTGAGACAAATACATGTTTTGGGCTACATGTTTTTTGGTGGTACTGAGATTTGAATACATTTTTGAGATTCTGATCTATATTGGTTTTCTTTGACCATCTGGCTAACAAATTACTTACCTTGACTAGATTCATAGAGTCTTATCTGATAGTTCTTGTCCTTAAGCTATGTGACTTTAAACAGTGAGAGGTCAAACTATAGGGTACATAATTATTTACTGTCATTCTACAGGAATATCTTTAATGTTGCTAGTGACACTATAACATATGTTTCCTCTAAGGTCCTCTAAGAGGACCAGTGTGTGTTTATGTTTCTCTCTGGGGTCACTCTAAAATATTAATTTTAACATTTTACTTGTTTTTCCATTAAAAGTGATAGTACACCTCTGAAGAGATATGAGGTGGTCAATTCAGACAGGGACAGATTGGCCCAAGTTATGTTGTTTGGGTTCTTTTTTAGGTAATGGTGCTAACTCTTGAGTCCTCCCTTAACTCCACCTAAACAGGCTAGGGCATGTACACATGTTGCCAGTTGTGGGGCCTCTAAGGAGAGTGTTTGTTAATTATAATCTCAGGGTGCTCGTTACATTTGGAATATCTCAGGTGTGGTGTTGAGGGTCCACTCTCTCCCACTCATGCGTGGCTGTCTGCCTACTCTAACGTTTTATTACGAGGCAGCCAATCTCATCATATATTTGGGTCTCTAGTCAATAGTTTTGTTGAGACCTTGTTCCTAATTCTCTGCCTGCCGATTAACATACATATGTGTCACTCCTAAGAAAGTACGGGCCCCACTGAACAGGCTGAATTGTTGTCAGAGAAATCGCGTACTAGTGTTACCAGAGCACCAGCCATAAAGCCTGGCTATGAGTCCCAATGCTTGCTTGCATTAAGAGAAAAATGACACAATATATAGAGAAATGGAAAAATGAACTTATTTATAGTTTTGGCCAAAATTGGGGAGAAATTAATAATTTGTGTCCACCTTGCCTATAGTAGTGTTACAATTTATAGAAGAGATGAAACAGAAACTAGGAAATATGTGTACGTAGTTAATCTTTCTCCTGGAAGATGGGTTGTCCTTATCAGGGTGGCTCATTTTCACTCCCAGCATAATATCTCTTGTAGGAATCATAATTCAACCCCCATCCCCTACACTAGTACAAAGACCAAAGACGAAAAGGTTATTTTGATTTGCAAAGGATCAAAGAAACTAAAGACACAAATATCTCAGTTTTATTTACATGGTCTATTTAAAGGAATGGCCCAGTCATACCATCCTACTTTATCCATTTAACCAGTGCCTGGTCTTGATTCATTTTAGGCTAATAGTTTGTAGATTTAGCACATATACATTATAGGAATATTTAGTCTTGTTTTTATCACTTGATATAAAGTTCCTATATTAATAGATTCCTTAAAGGTTAACATAATTCATATTGATGGCCTTAAAAATAAAATTCTTAGCTAGGCGCAAGTGCCTCATGCCTATACTATAATTCTAGTTACTCAAGAGGCAGAGATCAGGAGGATCATGGTTCAAGACCACCCTGGGCAAATAATTCACGAGACTCTATATCAAAAATACCCAACATAGAAAAGGGCTGGTGGGGTGACTCAAGTGGTAGAATGCTTGCCTAGCAAGCATGAGGCCTTGAGTTCAAACCCCCAGTTCCAAAAAAAAAAAAATGTCTTGTTGGTTATGGTGGTGCATACCTGTAATTCCAGTACTCAGGAGATAGAAGCAGGAGGATCACAAGTTTAAGGTCCACTTGAACTACATAGCAGGTTCAGACTAGCCTGAAGTCTGCAGCATCCTTGGAACCAAGATGGAAAGGATTAATGCAGCTCACATCACATCAGTCAAAAGTCCAAAGCTTTAATTGCTACAAAGCTACTAAGTGTGCCAGCAAGATTAGAGCCATAGTCTTCCTTGCTCAGCTCTGTTGTTGTTGGTCAGACTGTAATTTAAAAGACCCTCTTGTTTTCCCTGGTAAGTGAAAGGGTAACTTCAACAGTACAAGAAGTTAGAAGACTTCTGTGGTTGTGATCTGAAGGCAGGAATCAGGATTTTGGCAGCTTTTTTCAAACATTAGCTATTCTCTTCCTACCTTTCCCAACCTCCCTCTACTTCAGGCTTTAGTTGATGAAGTAAAAAATTACAACATCTAAAAGTAAAGTGGATCATAGGGTACTGCCAAATGGAAGGGGTGGTGGTGATAGTAAAGGCCAGTCCCCTTTGTGCCTAATCCCTGTTTTTCCTCACTATACATCCTCTAATTTAAAAAATACAATATTGATGAATGATTAGTTAATAATAATCAATACGTAGTTAAAGTAATTTGACTAGTTTTTTAAATCAGCAACCATGTACTTTATACTTTTCCAAAGCTGTAATTTTACAAGTTTTGACATGTGTATATACCCATGAAACCATCATCACAGTCAAGATAATGAACATATTTGTTACCCTCAAAAGTTTTCCTCTGCCCACTTGGCATATCTCCCTCCTTCCCCTACCTGCCTCCTACCCCAGATAATCGTTGATCTGACTTTTGTCACTATAGTTTGTATATTCTAGAATTTTGTAGAAATAGGATCATATTACACAGTGTATACATGAATCAAAGCATCACATTATACCTCAAAACTGTACAAATATTATGTGAGTCAAAAACAGAAAATAATGTGCTGGGGCTATATGCCTTCCTAACATATAAAAGGCCCTGGATTTGATCCCCAGCACTACAAAAAAAAAGGTTGTTTAAAAAAAAGACTTAATCTGTGAATGCTTACTATTCATCACATATTAACTAATAGAAAACTTACTTATTTTATAAATTTAATTTTAATTTATTTTAACAGGATCACTGTCTTGAGAGCTGTAGTGTTCACTCATATGTAAGAAAGAATTGGCTTGGTTCTATTGTCTTCCCTTTCTCTGCTCTCCTGCAACAATCTGAGGTAATGCAAAATGGTTCTTTGGTAATTATTTTAGGATTTGACTTCTGGCTAATAGAAGCACTTTCTGTTGTCTTGGCCTTACAGTCTGTGATTGGCAAGTTGGAAAGTTATAGTTAAAATGATACTGTATTATAGTGCTCTTGGATTTGGTTTCTAAGACAGGGAGAATCCACAAATTTATTTGTTGTATCTTTAGAGTATTTGCTGAGAGAGATTAGGACAGCTAGCCTTAGGTCTTAAAATAACATTCATAATTGCTTACAAGTCCTTTATAAGACCAGATTCATGAAACATTCTAATTAATGATGTTTTAATGCTGTTGCTTTGTAATGAGTTCCAAGAACTTCAGCTTGTCAGCTGAAACTGTTTATCAATAATAGTGAGATTGATGATTAGAAGTAGTATCTATGAGATCCTCAGAAGACTGTGCTGTTGGGTTATGTAGCAGGAACATGTCTGCATAAGCAGCAAAGTATGTGTGTGTGTGTGTGTGTATAAAAAACCCAACTTGACTCTGTTTTAGGTTCTGTCACTTATTTAGTGAGGACTCTTAGATAAGGCACTTTATATTCCTGAGGATATGCCAGACACTGAAGATTTGAAGTCAGAAATGAATTTTCTACCTCAATGTCTGTGGGATAAAACTAACATTTTGGTACAGTGTAATAGTGCTGTGGTACTTCAGTAGGGGCATGATATAGGTACGTGAGAACTATACATTTACTTTTCTTCAGTCGGCGGGGGAAATAGGGGCTCAGAGAGTGGCAGTGGGTAAGATGAGAATGATGCAATAACTTTGAAATCAAACCTTTAAATATGAATTTCTCAAGTTAATAACAGCATCTGAGTGAGAAGGAATCATGTATAGTAGTTAGGACTGCTTTAGGCCATATGCAGCAGAAAACTAGTAGCTGATGTAAGTCAGGGGTCTATTTACCTAAAAAGAAGTTAGATATTAGCAGAGCTGCTCAAGGATATCATGAAGAATCCAAACTACTTTTTTGCCTTTCTGCTCACTGTCCTTATCATATGTGTTTTATTCTCATAATTACAAAATGTTCATTACAAGTCCAACCTCATATCTATGTTGTGACAGGAGATAGAGAGGTAAAACAGGCAGTTTGTATATCAGGAAAATAGAACATTCCCAAGAAATCTCCAACAGACTTCACTTGCGTTTTATCATGTGGCATGGCCACTACCCAGCTATCATGGTCCCACCTAAAACTATTGGTAAAAGAGGAGGAGAGAATGAATATTATATGGACAGTAGAAGTGCTTGCATATGTGCAGTCACATGAAGTTTTCAACATTTATGTGGGGTCCTAAGGAGATCCCTGAGAGAAAGGCCATAAGAGTCCCTAACTTTGCTGCCAAAAAAAAAAAAAAGTTTAAGGATGAAATTTAAGCAGATTTATTAGAAGAAAAGTATAAACTCCAAGGGTGAGTATAGGTTTGAAAGAGATGCACTATTCTATCTTCAGTAAGATATACACATATTTTTGGCTACATTCTTGAAATTGTTACCTGTATTGGATTTTTTTTTTGTACTGGCCATTTGACTAATACTCAATCATTTTCTTCATACTGACCATTTGGCTTACTTTGACTATACTTCTAGGGTCTTTATCTGATGGTTCCTGTCATTATGCTGTGTGACTTCAAACAGGGGCCAGACCAAAAAACATGTAATTCTCTACTGTTATCTTATAGGAACACATTTGATATTGTTGTGACATTTTAACATGTTTTCCTTTAAGGTCCAGTATGTGCTTTAGTAGGGCTGTTTATGGTCCTCTGTGGGGTCATTCTGTGAGGTCAGTGCTCTGTGTGCAAGAATAAGCATAACTTAGTGTAGGAAGGTTTATTTTAACATTTAACATGGTTTTCTCTTCCCTCTGATCTCTATCTTGCTCCTGTCTCAGTCATGATTGTGCATATTGCAAATAGAGAGTACCAGGGATCTAAGTTGTTGGAGGGACAGGGCTTCCTACATTTGTAAATCCCTGTGAATATTTCTGTCTCAGACCAGGCTTATTAGATTGTGGGCCTCAAAGGTGGACAAACCTAGATTGTATCCTGCCTGTACTACTCATTAGTTCTGTGATTTGTTTGTTTGTAGACAGGCTCTTGCTGTATAGGCCAGGGTGGCCTTGAACTTGTGAGCCTCCTATATCAGCCTCCCAAATGTTGAGATTATAGCTATGTACTACCAGACCCAGCTAGTTCTGTGAGCTTGCACAAATTACTTAACTCTCTGAGCTTCATTTCCTTTCTCATAAAATAAAGATAATGGCAGCATCTGCTTCACTGAAGGAATTGTACATAGTAAAGACACAGTAACTATTAGCTACTATTATCTATTATTATTGTAATTCACCTCCTTCTCAAACATACACTCTCTCTCTCTCTGTCTCACACACACACACACACACACACACACACACACACACACGATCCCCACTCCTGTGGAGCTTACTCAAAGTTGTCTTTTGTCTTCCCTACCATTACATTTGTTTTTGCTCCTTCTAGACCCAATGCAGAATGTAACATGATCCTTTAGCACCTTCTCTGAGCCTAAATTAGATTTTCTAAGAGTTCTTATCACTGTGGTGTTGTAACTTGCTTCCTCAATTCATCCCTTCCATACTCTGCCCTCTTTATATAGTATATATTAGTCAGGAACCCAAGGGGTCAAGGTTGCCTATTGATCACCCCAGAGATCCTGATCATTCTAGAGCAGGTATATATTAGTAGAAGCCCATGCAAGCCTGTTTCCTTCTGTGAAGAAGTCTGAGCTGGGCTATAGTATTTTTGACAGATGTTGATTTTTCATCATGCATAATCTATTATACTGATACATTCTTGCAGATTAGTGGAACATTTCAAGTAAATATTCCACCGGTTTTGCTTGGGTATACTTGGAGTAAGACTTACATACCTCCTAAAGAAGATTGCAATGGGCAGAATTTAAAAGAATGTACCTTCTTAAATATTTTTGCTACCATTGAACCTCAGATATCATATGTCACCTATAACCCAAAATTAGATAAGGTAAGTTTTAAACTGCATTATTTTTAAACAAATCATCAAAGAAGCATAAACTATTTTATTTTTTTCTTTTATTATTCATATGTGCATACAAGGCTTGGGTCATTTCTCCTCCCTGCCCCCACCCCCTCCCTTAACACCCACTCCGCCCCCTCCCTCTCCCCCCCATAAACTATTTTAAAAACCAGTAATAATTTCAAAGCTGGCAAGAAACAAGTATTGATTCTTGATATTTCCTATGGAAACTATATGGTTCAATGTTGAAGTATGTTAAATTTGATTCTAGTTTTCAGATCAAATAGATGTTTTGCACAGAGCACAGATTTTTAAAAAGGAGTGTAAGGCCCTATTTCCCAACCGAAGAATCATAGCTACTGTTTTTAATGATGAAGGGATACATCTCTTAGTAACAAGATATATCAAGGCTTTAAATCCACCTCAACAACTTCTGGATGTGTTTCTTCATGATTCTAATGCAACACTTGTAAGTTACAGTTATTTTTAATAGCTTTGTTGTGATTAAAGCCCATCTATGGAGAATCAGATATACCTTTTGCTTAATTGGGGTCAATCTGTTCATATAACTTTCCTCAGAGTATTTATATTATTTGTGACTTTATAAAGTTCCCTTAAACTAAAATTACAAAAATCATAATTTAGGTTGCCCTTTGCTACACTCTGCCCTTACTATTATGGGTTTCTTTCTACCTATGTGTTCTGACACCCAATATCCAAGGAAATAATAATTCTCTCAGATTTATTTCAGACTTTCTTTAGTGGTTTTGGAAAAAAAATCCTAGATCCTTTGCTTGTCGAGGATTGATTATGTATTAATTACATGAGGTCACTAGTGTAGACAGTCATAATAGGTCATAAATGGCAACTATTATACAATTAAAATGTTAATGAATTTTCTGCCTTAATTCATTGGGTTTTTTTTTGTATCTCTTCCTCCTTTCTTATATTTGCTGAGTCCTTGTCTACAGCACTGTAGGGAGAAAAATCCACAGCATAATTTTTACTGTTTGAGAAAGCAGGCTGCACCATCTCCTGCTGCAGCAGCTTATATGAAAAAGAATTCTAGATGATTTTGAACCCAAAAGGCTATTCTGCAACACTTTCCTAAATTTTTAAGTTATTTGTTAAAGTCCATCTTTAATGTTGATACATGTTATTATATTTTAAATTTTAATAATTTATTATAATAAAATATAAAGGTTAATGTGAACCCTCTGGAGTCAGGCCAATTGAGTTCAATCCCAAGAGACTAAATAGAGTATGTTAGCTATATGACCCTGAGCAGCTTATTTTATCAGTCTAAGGTTGTTCCTTCTGTAAAATTAGAATAACAACAGGGTCTACTTTATAGGCTTGTAGTATTACTAAATGAGATAATGGTTGTAATACCCTGTGCTTAGTGATGGACATATAGCACACACTCAGTAAATGTTAGTTTATATTCTTCTAGGACCTCATTGCTCGATTTGTATCTTTGATTCCTTTTATAACTGATACTTCAGAAGAATATGATGGTTCTGATATATGGATGACATCAGAGGTAAAAAAATACATTTTATAGGTAAAATATATGGTATTTCTTATTCGCTTTTCTTTTTAAATATTATGTATTTGTGTAATACTTTGCCTTGTGAAATGTAAAGGTGTTTGATAACTTTATCATTTTTAGATCTCTTAACAATTTATGGAAATAATTCATTAAGACCAAAATTATTTTTCCTCAAAGTGGTATATTTAAATTTAGCAAGAATTCAATAAATATTTTCAACTGGAAAATACAAATATAATGGGAGCCTAAGAGAGGGACACTTTCATTTGGAACTCATAGTCCAGGGTGGCAGAGTGGTTCAAACAGTAAGAGCACCTGCCTATCAGGCCTTAGGCCCTGAGTTCAAACCCCAGTGCCATCAAAAAAAAGAAAAAAAGTATTAAGATGGAACTCATAGTCCTGGCTGGCACTTAATCTAGAATGTTGTAAAGGATTAGGTTTGAGCTAAAATGGATTTAGAAGGCACAGAGCTAACTTAATACCTGTTTTCTGCTCTGTGGGACCAAGGGAGACATAACTATATGGTTTTGGTCCAGAATTCAGTGATTCAAACCTGGTAGAACCCAGAAAGGTATTTGAGACTCTTCAATCAGAATGTGTTCAAGGACATTATGATTCTGTAGAATACTGAAAGAAGCTGAGCTAAAATAACCATTCAGGCATACTAGTACAGAGTTTCCCTCAGACCCAAACAATGTACATAACTAGAGGTTACTACATGCTTGGAACTTCTCTTGGCTAATGTCTTCTTATTGATGAAATCTTTGACCACAGAATGCCCATGAGTGTATAACCCTAGATTTCTCAGGGTTAGAGGTTTTTCTCTCACCTAATATATAGTCTTTGGAGTCACACCAACCTGGGTTCAAGTCCTGGTTCAATGGATTTATAGCTACAATGACCTATGATAAATTATCTAACACCATTTGATCTCAATTTCCTCATCTGTGTCATACAGGATTTTTGAAAGAACTAAATGAGATAACATGCAAAACATCTATAACTCAGGAAAATTTAGTTACTTACTGATATTCTTTCCTTCCTCCTCATACGAAATTTAGTCAGGAGAAATTCCTTGGCTCTCCTGATCACTTACCCTTTCAGAAGGGTCTTTTTACCATCTTCCCTCACACCCATCCCATACTCACATTCATTCAGTACATACTGATATGACTATATCAATTGTAAAACATTGAAATGCTTCCATAGTGATTAGCAAATAGTTGATGCCCAAGAACTCACTCTCTACTTTTATCTCATTTCCCTGGCCTTCTCAGAGTTTGTAATGAACTGGAGAATACATGTCTCTCATCTAAATGGTATAGCTGCCACTCAGCAGCAAGAGATTACTGACATTTAAACATTTAGACCCATTTATTTAGTAAATTTTTTGGAAATTTTTTTAGCATTCTTGGGGTTGAACTCAGGACCTCAACACTTGCTAAAAGTAAGCACTTTACCACTTGAGCCATATCTCTAGTTTTTTCTGCTTTAGGTTATTTTTCACAGAGGATAGAGAAAGATCTTACTTTTCTCCTGGGCTAGCCCAGGACCATGATCCTCCTACCTATGCCTCCTGTGTAGCTGGGATTACAGGTGTGAGCCACCACACCTGTTTTGTTTGTTTGTTTGTTTGTTTATTCATTTGGCTGGCTTTTGGGGACAGTACTAGGATTTGAACTCAGGGCATTGTTCTTGCTTGCTAGGCAGGTGCTCTACCACTTGGGCCACACTCCCAGACCTGGAGTTTTTCAACAGAAGCATAGAGCTTTTCATGAAATTTTCCATTTTTTTTAAACATTCTAGGGGCCAAATAAAATGTATCTGTAGACTAAAACTTGGTTATAGGCCACAAGCCTGCCACTTCTGCTAACCTTCCCTCTTGCTATACAGCCTTAGCAGGCACCCTATATTTGATCCCTTATACTCAGATCAACTGTTCAGCTCTTTTAGTTGAAGAAGTGTCAGTTATTCTTCCTGATTGGGATCCAACTCAGATATCCTCTTCTCTTTGATTGATTAAGTACAGGACAGAATGTAGTTTTATTGCCAAAAAGATTACTTCCCACAAACACTACATGATTCTCTCTCAGATAAGGTTCCTCAAAATACCAGTCCATATGCCTTATTGCCCAGGGCAGTTTTATATTTGTCCTAAGTGAAAATGTCACATTTTGGGTATAAATTATCTAGTCACTATACTATTCCATTTTAAGTGACTCTGATGGTCTAAGTCAACATTGTTTTCCTCTTACACCTAGTGAAGCCAGAGCTTTCTATTTAATTCTCATCTTAGCAACCTGGTAAAAATAAGAGCATTTGGAATTGCGGGGAATATAAGGGTTCTAAGTTTGTCAGATGCTTGCATTACTCAGTTTCCTCTTGCCTTTTGAAAATTCTTTTTCTTCTTTTTTTTTTTTTTGTTGTTGTTGTTCCTTTTGTTTTGCCTATAGCGCTGCATCAGTTTGGCTATTGGAAATAAGGAAGAACATGCCATACTTCTCTGTAATTTCTTTCTGTACTTTGGAAAGAAGGCATTGGTCCTCCTAGGAACCTCTGTATTAGAAGTAAGTGTTGTAATAGTGTGTGCAAAACTAAATCAGATTTCAGCTGCAGGTTTAAAAGACTTCAGTTCCAAGTTTCTATCTTTTCAGAGCTAATTAGGGAATTACATGGGCAAAAGATTATTAGTTAACAGGATAATGTTGGTTTGTCAAATTTCTGCAATGCAAAGAATAACTTTTGGTTTTTTCCTTTTTTTTGTAGTCTTTTAAAATTTTTTTTTTGTTTTATTATTCATATGTGCATACAAGGCTTGGGTCATTTCTCCCCCATGTCCCCACCCCCTCTCTTACCACCCACTCTGCCCCCTCCCTCTCCCCCCACTCAATACCCAGCAGAAACTATTTTGCCCTTATCTCTAATTTTGTTGAAGAGAGAGCATAAGCAATAATAGGAAGGAACAAGGGTTTTTGCTGGTTGAGATAAGGATAGCTATACAGGGAGTTGACTCACATTAATTTCCTGTGCGTGTGTGTTATTTTCTAGGTTAATTCTTTTTATCTAACCTTTTCTGTAGTTCCTGGTCCCTTTTCCTATTGGCCTCAGTTGCTTTAAGGTATCTGCTTTTAGTTTCTCTGCGTTAAGGGCAACAAATGCTAGCTAGTTTTTTAGGTGTCTTACCTATCCTCACCCCTCCCTGTGTGCTCTCGCTTTTATCATGTGCTCAAAGTCCAATCCCCTTGTTGTGTTTGCCCTTGATCTAATGTCTGCATATGAGGGAGAACATACGATTTTTGGTTTTTAAAGTACTAAAAAAACCAGTGCTAATTCTTGGGGTTACTGAAAATAGTAAATTACCTAGTACTTATAAGGCACCCAAAACAGTACCTATTCTTGGCAAATGCACAATATATGGTGGTGGGATCTCCAACCTGTATTTGTGGTGACTGTTATCATCCATCATCACTACCATCATGACTCTGTGTTTCTAATACCATATTTTAAGATCTTTGAATTTCTTTCTTTTAGCAGTTCTGGGATTTGAACTCAGGGTCTTATGCTTGCTAGGCAGGCATGCTACCACTTGAGCCAGACTACCAATTGTATTTTTAAATTTTTTAACAAATACTTCTCATGTCCCATTTTCCAGGCTTTAATCTTATAAGTATGAGTCAGAAATTCAAGTCTACCTATCTGAAAATTTTACAACTTAATTTATATACTTTTGAATTTGTACATCCGAAAGATATCCTTTATTTGTAGTCCTATCAAGAATATATTGCTAAGTGTCAGCATTTCAAATCTTGCCTTATGGTTTTTGTAATGATTGCTTATTTCCCTTTATTTGTTTGACATGGTTTATTATTTCTATGTCAAGTTTGTTAACTGAAAAAAAAAAAGCCTATCCTTAATTACCCTGATATAATCTCCTGCAGTAGTTGTAAGTGTCACTAGGTGGCAGTAAATAGTCAACAATACTTCAGCAGGCATTTGCATTTGCATGTGTGAACCAACTCCATGGGAGGCAGCCAGCAGCTATGCAGGACTGCAGCTGTGTAGTTGAAGTGACACTTCCCCTTTCACTGAAGAGAAGACAAGCACAATGATAATGAGCAAAGGCTTTGGAGCTAAGGAGGCCAAAGTTACACAGAATAATGTAGAGTATGGGTTTGAGCCTAGTCTTAACAGGGACTTAAACCCCAGGAATGCCACTTGATCTCAGTTGGGTTTGCTTCTCTAAGCCTCAGTTATATCGTCACAGAACTGGAATAAATGCCACTTTCTGTTTTCCTAGATAAGCCCCTTGACCTCTGATTCTCCATCTGAAAGTAGGGCATAATAATCATCCTGACTTTACAGAACTGAGAGTGAATTAAAGTGAGGAAAATTAATTGAATTCTTAGCATAGTATCTGATATACATCAGTAGTCAATAAATGTTAAAAAGTCATTATTATTATCTAAAATATTCTTTATTAAAAAAAGTTTTACACTATAAAAAGTATATGTGGGCAAAGTAATAACAACATGACTACTTTTTATTCTTCAGATTGGTTTCCCATGTCCTTTTCTCTTTAATCTCTAATTCCAAATCTTGTTCTCAAATTTAATTTAGTGGCTTTCAAAGTTCTTTAGTGGTTCTCTCAAGTGCCTTAAGCCAGTTTCTACTCTCTAACTCAGCCCAATAAGTCTTAGTCTTCAAGTATATTCTAACCAAAGTGGGTCTACTCCATATAGCACCTTTGTGTGAATTAGACAAAAGTGCCTCTACCTCAAAACTCTTTAGTACCACCTGTTGGAAAGTTGTCATAACATGCTGATTTTGTTAGAATGATGTATTTTATTGTCATCAGGGTGCACCCTGCAAGAACAAACATGGCAGCACCAGCTCACAGTTTCTCTCATCTGAATCCTTATGCTAACCTATACACCAAAGGACTTCTGGAGTTTATGTTTTGGGGTTTTTTTTTTCTTCCTTTCTTCCTTTTCTTTTTTTAAATTTTATTTTATCATTTTTGCATTTACTTACATGTAAATGTAAATGCAAATTCTGCCCCGCGCCTCCAGGCAAAACCTGTCCCGCTCTCTTGTTCTCTGATTTGTAGAAGAAAAACCATAAAAGATAATAAGAAAAACATGGTGTTTTTGCTAGTTTGAGATAAAGGTAGCAATACAGGGAGATTCCTTGTGTTGTTTTCATGCATGTGTGTATTACAACCCAAATTGGTTCATCTCTACTAGACCTCTTCACTAATTCTTAGTACCCTTCCCATAGTAGCCTCTGCCAGTTTAAGATCACTATATTTGATCCTATACAGTGAGCACATCAACCACATTCAAGTTTTTGATTTTCTTCTCTTGCTCTATACCTCCTGTGTGCAGTGTGCCCTTAGTGTGTGACCCATATCCAATAATATTGCTGCATTTGTTCTAGGTCTATAATTGGCATATGAGGGAAAATATGCAATTTTTGGCTTTCTGAGCCTGACTAACTTCACTTAAGATGATGTTCTCCAGTTCCATCATTCTTCTTCATGGCTGAATAAAATTCCATTGTACACATATAAGTACACATTTTCTTAATCCAATTGTCAGTAGTGGGGCATCTTGGCTGTTTCCATAACTTGGCTGTTGTGAATAGTGCTGGATGTGCAGGTGCCTGTAGTTACCTGAGTCACATTTCTTTGGGTATATCCCTGGGAGTGGTATTGCTGGATCATATGGCAGGTCTATGTTTAGTTTTTTAAGAAGCCTCCATATTGTTTTCCATAGTGTTTGTACTAGCTTACATTCCCACCAGCAGCGTATGAGGATTCCTTTTTTCCCTGCATCCTTGACAACATTTGTTGTTGGTGGTGTTCTTAATGGTAGCTATTCTAACAGGAGTGAGGTGGAATCTTAGTGTGGTTTTATTTGCATTTTCTTTATGGCCAAGGATGGTGAGCATTTTTTCATGTGTGTTTTAGCCATTTGGACTTATTCCTTTGAAAAAGTTCTGTTTAGTTCAGTTGCCCATGTCTTTATTGGGTCATTGATTTTTTGGGGAGTTTATTTTTTTTGAGCTTCCTGTATATTCTGATTATCAGTCCAATTTCTGATGTATAACTAGCAAAGATTTTTCTCCCATTCTGTGGGCAACCTATTCAATTTAGAGACTATTTCTTTTGTTGTACAGAACCTTTTAAATTTCGTGTAGTCCCGTTTATCAATCCTTCCTCTTAGTTGCTGAGCCACATGAGTTCTACTGAAACCTTGCCCAAACCTATTGTTTCCAGTGTATTCCCTACTCTTTCCTGTACTAGCTTCAAGGTTTCAGGTCTGATATTAAGGTGCTTAATCCACTTTGAGTTGATACTAGTACAGGGTGCAGGCATGGATCTAGTTTCAGTTTTCTACAGTCATATAACCACTCTTCCCAGCAACGTTTGTTGAAGAGGATGTCTTTTCTCCATCATTTGTTTTTGGCACCTTTGTTGAAGATTAGGTAAGCACAGTTGTGTGGATTCATATCTGGATCCTCTATTCTGTTCACTGGTCTTCATGTCTGTTTTTGTGCCAGTACCATGCTGTTTTTATTGCTATGGATCTGTAGTGTAATTTGAAGTGTCAGATATTGTGATACCTCCAGTGTCGCTCTTTTTGCTCAGTATTGCCTTGGCTATTCACAGTCTTTTGTGTTTCCAAATGAACTTTAGGGCAGATTTCTCAATCTATGTGATGAATGTCATTGGGATTTTGATGGGAATTTCGTTGAACATGTAAATTGCTTTTGGTTGTATAGCCATTTTAACTTTGTTGATTCTGCCAATCCATGAACATGGGAGATCTGCCCACCTTCTGTAGTCTTTTTTGATCTCTTTCTTCAGTGGTTTGTAGTTCTCCTTATAGAGGTCATTTATATCCTTTGTTAAGTTTATTCCTAGGTATTTGATTTTTTTTTAGGCTATTGTAAATGGAACTGTTTTTCTATATTCTTTCTCAGTCTGCTCATTGTTGGGGTATAGAAAGGCTAATGATTTTTGTAAGTTGATTTTGTATCCTGCTACATTGCTAAAGCTGTTTATGGTGTCTAGGAGTTTTTGGGTGGAGTTTTTCAGGTCTTTAAGGTAGAAGATCATGTCATCTGCAAATAGGGATAGTTTGACTATTTCATTACTATTTGTATTCCTTTTATTTCTTCTTCTTGCCTTATTGCTCTGGCTAAGAAATCCAGGACTATGTTGAATAGGAGTGGGGAGAGTGGGCACCCTTGTCTCATTCCTGACTTCGGGAAATGGTTTCAGTTTTTCCCCATTAAGTATGATTTTGGCTTTAAGTTTGTAATATATAACCTTTATTTTTTTGAGGTACATTCCTTCTATTCCAGTTTCCTCAGAGCTTTTATCAAAAAAAAAAAGTTAAAAGCCCTGGCAGGCACTGTTAGTTCACTCCTGTAATCTTAACTACTTGGATGGCTGAGATTGGGAACATTGAGGTTCGAGGCCAACCCAGAAAAATAGTTTGCAAGATCCCATCTCCAAAATAACCAGGGCAAAATGGACTGGAGATGTGGCTCAAGCAGTAGGGTACCTGCTTTGCAAGCAGAAAGCCCTGAGTTCAAACCCTGGTTCCACCAAGAAAAAAAAAATTAAAAGCCCTAAAAAAAAAAACTTTTAAAATCAGAATAATTGTGTTTAGTTTCCACATACAAAAGTTAAATGAACCAAAACACACCAAAATGATTTTAAATATTTTTCTTTATGCAGGGGCATGTAGCTTATGTATTAACCGAAGAAACTCATGAATATTTGCTTTGGAATCCATCAACTGGGCAATGTCATAGGCAGTTTGATCCATTTTGTCCCTTACAAAGTGTGGATTGTTTATTTGATGATAGGAATGTAAGTATATTGGGAGGGGGATCTTATTTTGAGTTATAAGTCCTCTAGGCTATACATTAGAATCATTGGAACTTTGAAGACTGCAGTGGGTTCCAGAGGTACAGGGGTTGGGCAATCTTTTATCCTTAAAGTTCCCCAGGCAATTCTGCAGGGCCTCCAAAGTTGAGAATGAATGAAGAAGACATAAGATCACAAGGCCATGGAATCTCTCCATCTCTGCCTCATACCTCCCTTGAGTGGACAGTAAAATTTTGCTCCATTCTTACTGACTATGAGCCTTGTGTTCCTGTGGGTGTATACTGACTTTATGTTGATGTTTTAATAGGTCTGGTTTAATATTCAACAAAATAATACACCAATGGCTGTACAGTTTGACTATTCAAAAGAAATTTTCTGGAAACAGTTGTTTCCGAAAAATTTTCAGGGGACAGAAGCACAAAGTATACAGGTAAAATATTTTTTCAGGTCTGTCTGCTTAAGAGTTACACTGTTTCTAATCTTTTTTAGCTGTGACAGCTCTTGTATGTTTTACAGTTGCTCACTTAACTAAATTATTTGGCAATGTTCACCAAAAACTTGTTTTTTCAGGGGCTGGCAGAGTGACTCAAGCAGCAGAGCACCTGCCTAGCAAGCATGAGGTCCTGAGTTCAAACCACAGTACCATAAAAATAAAAAACACTGTTTTCTCTGCCACTCAGCCTGTATTTGGGCTGCTTTAATGTTTCTCTCTATCTGAATAAAAGAATTGAAAAAAATGTCATCCAAATGTGAATTTAGACTTTAAAATAATATTTTAAATTTTACCATCATAAAACATAGCATATAATGTTCAAGGTGGTACGGTATAGTAAAGTAAGTTCTTACTTTGACCTACTCCTTCTTGTTGCACATTCGTAGTGAAGTTCAAGTATGAAAAATGACAAACAAAAATGTTTATCTGGCCTTCAAACCATGGTAGTTATCTCACTGAATGGAAACAGGACAGAAACACTAGCAGTGAATGGGTCTGAAGCATGGGTGGCAGCAAGGTCTGAAATACTTCAGAAAGTCTAGGATCCAGAGCTCTTGACTATGATGAGGGCTCCCCTACACTCCTACTTTTGAAAGAAGATAGAAAAAAAAACCCTTGTACACAGTCCTGGGACTCAGGAGGCAGGAAACCAGGAACTGACCCAAACCCTAGATGTTTGGCCAGCATATCTTTGATGTACTCTGTATCACTTTGGAAATATCATGTCTACATGAGGATCATGACATAGCAGAGTTCAGGCATCTGTAAAGTCCACAAACTAGGAGCTAGGATCCTGGGGGTAGGAGGAGGAAAGGAAGAGAAAAATAGAAAACCAGGCAAAAGATAATTCATATAAGCAGAAGCTCGATATTTAACTTAATTCATAATGAGGGAAATATAATTTAAAACAATAAAATACTATTTCACATGCATAAAATTGGCAACAAAAAAGAATGATCATACCAGATGTTGGCAAAGAGGCAGAGAAAATGGTGGGACTGTAAATTGTTATAAACATTTTGGAAATCAGTTTAAACTTCTATGTATATACCCTCAAGGAACATGCACAGGGAGACAGGCATAACAATGTTTTTTATAAAATTCCTTGAAATAGTAAGAAATTGCAAACAATCTGTCAGCTGGAAAATTGGTACATGAGTTGTGATGTACTCACAAAAAATAATCTGTGAACCAATTTATAGTAGTTCTTAATCAGTACATGTATTATGTGAAAATCTCAGGGTAGAATCCACACATCAGTGGTTTTTCAAGTTCTCTAGGTGACTGCAGTATGTAGCTAAGGTTGTGAACCACTGACATAAAGCCATAAGCATCAACAGGAATCAACATAAAAAATGTAATGTTGGGCAAAATAAAGATGTAAAATGATATATATAATACAAAACCATTTGTATGAAGTTTGAAAACTATGTATTATTTATGTGCCTGTATATATGTATGTGCATTATGTATATGTACATATGCATTTGTATATATAACAGAAATATACTGTAGACATATAGAGGCACTTATGGGAATAATGAGTGCCAAATTCAGATTAGTGGGTACCTTTGGGGAGAAAATAAAAAAATGAATGAAATCTGGGGAGCAGTATACAGAGTACTTCTAGTCTATTGTGATTTCATGCTTTTTAAAAAATCTAAAGCAGATATGGAAAAATGCAATGATTAAACATAACTAGGTGGTGAGTACAAAAGAGTACATTATTCTCTATGCTTTTCTGTAAATTCAAGGCCATTAACCATTAACAAAATCAGAAAGAATATATGGTAGTTATATAGGAAAAACTCAGAGTACTAATGTACATAAAAGTGTTCTCTTGCCTTCAATGTCTTTTCCTCACCCTCTAAGAAATAACTAATGTCCAGTAGTTTCTTGTGCATCCTTCTAAACATTCTCCATGCAGATCAAGCACATATGTGTGTGTGTGTGTATTTTTATATTTCCTGTTTGAAAAGTCATTTTAAAGACGGGGAAATGTGCTTATCTCTCCTAAGCAAACCACATTTACAGCCTCTACAGTTCATGCTTTGCTTTTTTCCATCCCATAGCTGTGGCTAAAATTTTATTTGTTTAATGCATAATTATTCCTTTGTTCATTCAGGTGATATTTATTGCTTTCCTGAAATGAGCCAGTGCTGTCTTAGGTGTAGATACATAAGGAAGAGAACATACAGTGTTCTTATGTTCTGGAGAACTTATGTTCTAGAGGAGGAAACAGAGGAAATAAGCAGTGGCAATAGGGAGTGATCAGTACTATTACAGAAGAAACTAATGAGCTTTGGGAACATGCAGTAGGAGGATCCAAGGGAGAGGAGTTGCAGGAGTTCCAGGGAATGTGGTAACAAACTAAGTGAGGTTGGGTGAGCAGGAGCTGGTATAGATGAACGTCAGGAAGGAAAATGGTCCAAGCAGAGAGCAGGAACAGCAGATAGGAAAACCTGCTAACAGATAGCTTCACCACTGCTAGGGAGTAAGCACAGATGAGCAGAATTCTGGTAAAGATGTGGGCCTTTATACTTATGGCAGTCAGAAGCCAACATCACAAAGGGCTACAATGATCAAACTTGTATTTTTTAAAGCCTCTTTAACTGAAGGTAGAAACTAAACCTTCTGACAAGTTGAATCTATAAATAGAAAAAAACTAGTTGTGTTTGACTTGTATCTCTATTGATTTCTTTCTTGTGGGTAATGGCCCTCAATCTCTCTCCTTGCCACATTCATCCCAGAATAAACCACTATCTAGAATGAACACTGTCTGTTACACATGATTGAGAACACAAATTTCATTTGTACATTCTATGGGTATCCAGAGCTGGAGTTAATAGAAATCCTCTTAAAATTTCAAGGGACATGAGTTCTTAGAAAAAAAAGAACTTTGCCAGAAAAGAAAGCAGACAAATACGCCATAGCCTTATCAAGTCACCATAACCAGTTCTCATCTCCAGGTCTGAAGGGGCTAACTAATCCAGGAATTGCCCAGTGAGAATAGGAGGGTGGTTGATGAGACCAATCAGGGAATTTAGTGTACTTGTTCTGTCTGGGATAGTGGCCGGCCCTTAAAGGTGACCCCTGGAGTTCATAATCCTCCTGTCTCCTGCTATGCTCTGCCATGTTCTGCTGTGGGCAAAACTCCCTGGTCCTGAAACTAATTCTCTAGTCTAGTGGCTCTCCAACCATGGCAGGCATCAGAACCACCTACAGGACTTACTAAAACACAGATCCTGAAAGGGCTAGGGATGGTGGTTCTTGCCTGTAACCCCAGCTATACGGGAAGCATAGGTAGGAAGGTGGTGGTTGGAGGCTGGCCCCTAGGCAAAGATGTGAGGCCCTATCTGAAAAATAACTAAAGCAAAAAAGGGCTTGAGGCATGGCTCAAGCTGTAGAGCGCCTGCCTAGCAAGCACAAGGTCCTGAGTTCAATCCCCAATATTGCCAAGAGAACAGAAGCCAACAAAGAAAAACCCTGCTGGGCCTTAACCCCACAGTTTCTAATTCACTGAGTCTGATGGGAGGACCAATAATTTGTATTTCTAATAACTTCACAAGTCTGAGATTGATGTACTGGGGGCATCAATCTTTGGGAACCTATCAAGCTCCATGTTTGCTCAACCCTCAGAAAGGGGAAATATCTGTCCCTGTTCCTACAGCTGCCTCTGTTCCTCAGTCCAGGAATACCCAAAATAAAAACTGTCTAAATTCAGCCCCTCACTGCTGTCCTGTAAGCCCTATAGGGAGGGCAGGGCTGAGTTGGGATGAAAGGAGAGAAGTCCTCCCTTCCTCTCAGCAAATCCAGCCCAGGACCAGAATATGAGGAAACATGGAAGAGCATTGCTCCCTGTTGGCTTAGAGAGAGGGAAGGTGCTGGGAAAAGGCTTAGATACCAGGAGGGTGAAATGGATTGTGTGTGTACATTTTAAAGTGCACATATAACATGTTGTACACATGCAAGCACAATGTATAGGCTCCTGTCAGCTATGAGAAACAAAACTCAGAGAAGGATGATGATAAACTATGTTAGAAGAGGATTAATAAAAATATCTGAAGTTATTGAGCATTCCATATGTGCCAGGCTTTACATGTATGATTTTATTTTAAAATCCTCACAAGACCCAGAGCAGTTGGTACTACTATCGTCCCTATTCTAAAGATAAAGTAACTGAGAATCTGAACAGAGAGATTAAGTAACTTCACCAAAGTCACAATAAATGGAAGATGCTGCCAAACATTATTTAGTGAGATCAATAAGCATGTCAGACACTCATTTGAGTAAATGAGTAGGGCTGGCACGTCTCTTACCCACGAAAAATACTTTCTTTTGTAAATCCATTTTCCTTCCCATGCTCTGTTGAAGCATTATGGGAATCAAAGGAAATGCTGTGGTACATGTTTTACCTAAGTGATCGAGTGTCTTTGCCATGAGAGGGAGACTGGTTTGAGTCCCTCCACCACCACAATTCCTAACTTTCCACTGTTTTTATTTCAGCCTGAAGAAATAATTTATTATGATACTAATAAAAATATGGTAGAAGATCTAAAGAACAGGTATGTTATTCAGTACCTTTGGTCCTCTAATCCTCCCTTTCAAAATACCCATTAAGTTCAGCAATAGAAGCATGAAAAGGAAGATTATAATGGTTAGTTCCAGTGAACCACCTGTCTCTTGGTACAAACATTGAAGAACAACCCCTCTGCCATCTGGGGTACCCCTTAAGGGGACAGTCTAAGTTAACTCAGGCATGGGTCAAGGTTGGAGTCTATGGTAATAATAATGCAGTAGCTAACGCTTCCTAAAAGGACATGGTCCGTGACCTGGGGTATGGTAAAACATCCCAGTTGGATGGAAGAAACAGCCATCAATACCATCATTCCTGGGTGCAACCTACTTCCCCAAACACATATATACAGTTCCTTGAGGAGGTATTCATTCAAGCCCAAAGGGCCACAGACTTTGTAGCAGCTCACTTTTACTCCAAATGCATCAAAAGCTTCTGGATCTGACTGCCTGCAGTGATTCACACTCACACAGCAGACTGGCATATACCCCACTACCAACCAGCCAAAACAGAGCATGACCAAAGTCATTTTGCAACTCCCTTTGCTTATAAGCACATACTGCACTTCACCCTATCTTTCCTGCTCCTCATTTCCCAGTTCTTAACAACAACAACAACAACAAAAACCAAAGAGATGAAATCAGGAAATGGTTCTCATCTTCTGTTATTTAAAAATACAGGTTCTTGGGTTCCAGACCAGATTTGTTGAATCAATATCAGGAGTGAAACATTCTGATAAAGCTCTGCAGGTGATTCTGATGCCTAGTTACTACTGAGACCTGTTGCACATTCCAGCTTACTTAGTTACACTATAAATTCAGCCAAGAGGAGACTCCCAACAGCTTCTTGTAATAAGCACTAAGATTAGAGAGACTATCCCAAACACTCATCTTACATGGAGGAGAAACTTCCCAAAAATTCCCCATCAACCAACTCACACCCTTCTCCCATCTCTCTTATCCCCACACAAATGCTCACCAGGCATTGTTGTAGGGGTTGAGTATACAGGTAAGAATCTCTGCTCTTACGAAGCTACATGTAGTAGAGGGAAGCTGATCATTAAATTTAACAGTTCATTGCTTCATTTCCTCCCAACTCCTCACTAAATTAATTGAGCTAATAACCCCATCCCTTGTAACATTATCGCAGAGAAGATACCTGGATTTTTGTAAAGGAAATTCTGTAGAACACTATGTTCAAGGAGGGTCTTGAAAAGCAGAGATGCCAACCCAGTAATCATATGGTAGTTCTCATCAAGTCACACCCAGTGCACAGCTACTTATACACAAGTAACTGGAAAGGGATGTGGCTTTGGAGACCCAATTTCTGGCTACTGCTCTTTCATTTCCCTAACTGCAGTAATTATTATAGTTTTCATAATCTGAGAAGCATTTGCCTCAAAACGAGAAGTGAAGCTTCTTGCCTCCCTAAGAAGGAAGACAACCAAGAGCCTGCTTCTCCCTGACTTGATTAATGTAAATAATGGCAAGCACCCTTAACTATAAAGGTCTGGTTTCCTCCTAGGTCTAAAAAGTATCATCCTCACGTGTAAATCTACAAAATTCTCATCACATTTACTGAATGAGTTGCATTTGTCATGTATCTTTGCATTCTCACCTTAGGATTGAAAGGAATCTAAAGTGTAAAATAATGGAATGGCGACCTAAACATCCAACACGTTGGAATCGACAATGTACTTCTATTTTACGACAGATCCTTCCTAAGTTGGAACTTGACACAGGAAGTTTTGTTGCATTTGAAGAAGAGAGTGAATTTGAAAAACTGCTACAATTTTATTGGGTTTGTATATGATTTGAGGCATTAATAACATTTCTTTTATCTCTATTGTTAATTTGTAAATGTTAACAATTCTAAATATCTCTGAAATGCCTTTTATCTTGGTCCTGGAAGATAGATTCTTTGGTATTAAAATGCATTTACTTATAGACCAAAGAACTGCAGTGTAGCAAACAATTATCGTCAGGACCACATTGTATGGTATTTTCTTGGAATCAGTTGTATGTTTTATGATGTGGGAACTATGAACTTTGTAAAGAGATGTCCAGAAGGAAACCAACCTGCCGTGGAGAAACTGAAAAATAATCTCTAGTAATAGACTGGATTCCTTGTTACTGGTTTTAGGCTAGAGGAGTCCAGACAAGCTTCGATATCTTCCATATGCAGATTATTCACAAATTTGTATATTCTCCCAGCACCTGTCTCCTGGCATCCCCTCTTAAATTCATAAACCCAATGACATCTTCTTGGATAGAAAAAGGCATCTCAAACTCAGCAAGGCCATAAAAGAATATGATGGACATCTGGTATATTATTAGGGTCCTCCTTTCTTTCTCTTACCCTACTCCAGTACCAAGCATCCTTTTCTCTCTGGTTCCCTATTAAATGGCCCAGTGGGATTTTGAAGACCCCAGCCTTCCAAGAGTGAGAATCCTTCCTTCTACCATCAAATAGGGTAAACATCTAGAGAAACTCCCTGAGACGAGGAAGTAAGGGATCTGTTGGGAATTGAGTATTTTAGCTGCCAGGGAAGAACCTGCATGCAGTGTTCATTCATGAATAAAAAAGAAGTTGTTTTGTCTTACTTTGTTTTTAATAGAATCTAGGAGTAAACAGATTAAGAAAAATATAGTTAAATATAAGCCAAGTCTATGTAAAATTATCTGATCAATAATACATAATAATATATAATCAACAGTAAATAAACCTGGACTGAACCCTGCAATCTATGTTCAAAGCCTGTTTTAGCCACTCACCAGCTTTGGTGTAGGGCAAGTCACCTAACCTTTCTATACCTCCTACTTTACAGCATAGCAGGGATATAAACAGTTATCTGTGGTTGTTGTCAGGATAAAATGAATTAATACTTACCACCCAGCCAGCACCTAGTTTTAGTTAATGCCAACTATTGTTCTTATTCTGTGTGCCAGGCATTGTGCTAGGTACTGGAGTAATGATCATAAACAAGAAAGATACAATCTTGTGCATTCACAGGGATTATAGGCTAGAGGTACAGGTAAAAAACAGATAATTATAAAATATTTTAAGTAAGCTAGAGAAAGGATAGTGCAATACTCAACAACACTGGAAGAGCATGTGAACAGATTTAAGGATCAGGAAAATCTTTATGTGAACAATCTAAGGCTTAAAAGAAGTTTATTAAGGTAAGGGAGGAGGTGGGGGGAAGGGGGAAAAATGACCCAAACATTGTATGCATATATGTATAAAAGAAAAAAAAATAAAGATTATCTGCAACTTAAAAAAAAAAAAAAAAAGTTTATTATTGTCATCTGTGTATCATTAAAAAATTTTACATAGGAACATGTTCCAGAGTCAGTCCCTTAATCCCATCACATAGTAGTCTCTTAATAAATATAAACTGAATCATTATTAAATAAATCCCCCCAAAATGCCCACTTAAATCCCTCCTATGGAGGACCAAGTAATTTCCTTGTTGGCAGTTTGCTATCTGGAAAGGATGCAAGTTTGTGGCATGTTAAATGTTTGAGTTGTACCTTTGGACAGGCCTGGTTGGGCTCCTCTCTATAGAATGGGGATTATAACAGAACCTAACTCATAGCATTGTGTGGGAATTATATATGTTTGTGAAGCATTTAGCACTGTCTCTAGAATATAACCAGCACCCACAAAACACAACTGTTATATTATGACTACCATTCTTTTGAGACTTCTGCAATTCTTTTGCATACAGTAATTCCGTATTACTTCCAACATGGTAATCTAGGTTTGTGTGTTGTTCTTTCCTTGATCCAGGTCACGGGATTTCCCATCCAGATGCCATATACTAATGTACAGTCAGTTATTGATGCTGTTTATCAAACTGGAATTCACTCTTCTGAATTTCCCCAGACAGAATTTGCTTTAGCTGTATACATTCACCCATACCCAAACAACATATTATCTGTGTGGGTCTATTTGGCTTCTTTGGCCCGACATCAGTGAAATGGAAGAAGAGCAAAGGGAAAGACTGTACTGCAGGCCCCTAGAACAGAAGCCACCAAACTTTTCAATTACCTGGAATTTTGCTGTTTATCCTCAAGTCCACCAAGAAGTGGACCCAATCTTTGATTCACTTGCAGATTTGGGCACTGTGGAGACTATATCATCCCTACCCCAGGTTTGAGGATAAGTCTAAATGACTTCCTTACCAGACATCTCTTCCAGGAGGAGGACCCCTTGGATAGTCTGTCTTGTTTACATTATTGCTTACAGTAGCTTTTATTCTGGAAAAGAAGCAATTCTGGCTTGCCCCCTCAAGCCAGTGTTTTTCAAATTGTGGACTTCACACCGCCTCCATCAGAAAAATCTGGAGCATCTTAGCAACATGAGGGTCCCAGGTACCATCCAAGACCTCCTGAATCGGAACCTCCAGGAGTAGAGCTCCAGAACCTGCATCATTTTCAACAAGCTCACTGGTCAATTCTGGTGCACTATTGAGTGAGAACCAGCCTTATAAAATGTTGCCATTACTAAAGAGTGGCTGGAATATGTGATGTGGGTTCTGGTACAATTCAAGGTTGAAGTTATTAAAATAGAAATCTTAAGGTATTGCCCCTCATAAGATAAAAAGTCGGTTCACTGTAAAGAAAACAAGGAAAATCTACCATGTTGGTCTGAGGGTTGAAGTCGACTGCTAGGAGCTTCTCAGAAATTTGCACTTGGAATATTACTGACAGGAAATCCTAAGAGCTCCTCATATTTGGAAGGGACTCCCAGGAAATTCTATCTAATCTAATCTGTACTGGCTGTGAGGAAGGGAGGAAATGGTTTTACAGCTCTCAGGGCTCATTTTTTCCTGAGGGGGCAACCCCCCCCATCTGCCTCTGGCACTTTCTGCTGTCTTCATTTCCTAGTGGTGGCCCCAAAGAGGCACATCGAGATCTTAGGATCCTCTCAAGAAATAGTGAACCAGAATCTAAGCAGGAAGCAATATGCTTTCTTCTGTTTGATTGTTCTGTGCTTCATTGAAAAGAGTATTTACACTATTTACTTGAATGTGACATAACATGTTACTTAAAAGCTATAATCAAGAAATTCAGTTTTCAAAAAACTGTCCAGAACAGTTTTGTATGAGGTGAAGATAAAAAGAAAATTCACTGCTCCCATTGCAAGAGCATTGAACCTCCTTGATTCACTCCCATAAAGAGCAGAGAACCCCATATTCATCCACAGAGAGCCTCCTAGTCTATGAACCCTTCTCTTAAATTACCTACGTAGGCTGGTACTAGAGATGGCCTCGTTTATTCATGATGATGCTAATCTTGGGCCAGGCTTAATGTTACCAGAAGAGGAAGGTAGCAACGTGGGTGAAGGAATGTTTTCTCTCCAAGTTAAAACTTGACTGTGTATGTCTTCTGGCATGCATAAGAAGACTGATCACAATTTTTGTTTTTATTTGAATGTTTGTGTTTAAATTTTATATGAGCTTTTTTTATTAAACAAGGCTCCCACTTAGATTGAGGTTGCACAAAATGGTGCCTGTGAAAAGATGAGGTTGCCAAAGAAATGCTGGATTCATGCAGTTCATTTCTGTGATGCTTTAAATGTTTACATAGCTCTTGTATTAGTTGTTCAAGGTTTTAGAGTTATAAGACCACTTAAGAGTAGTGCACATAGGCAAAGATAGAGGACTTCTCTTTGCTATATGCATTTTTACATGTTTATGTGTCACTTTTTAAACTGTTTTCTCCTAAAAATAGTAAAATTTTGTGTAATAAATAATTTTTTTCATTTGAATGTTTTAAAAATACATGATTTTAAATGGAATGTATAATTTTAAAATTCTCTAAATCATTCCACAAATTATGGAGTATCCATATGTGATAGACATTTCAGTATTGAATACAGCAGTGAAAACATAAAAATCCTACCAGAATAAAGCTTACGTTATTCAAGGAAACAGATCATAGCAAACAAACAGTAAATGTGTGAGAAAATTTCAGGGTGTGATGAGTGCTATAAAAGGATACAAATGGCAGGGGGATTGTGGAGGACCTTGGTGGAGTTGGAGGGTTTAAGCCAAGTAGTCAGGAGGCCTCTAAAGAGGTAGTGTTTAAGCTAAGATTTAAAAAATAATTTGTCCATCAGAATCACATTTAATTACAAGGAATGGTCACATAACTAAACCAATTTGAGATTACTTGTTTGCAAACTGCAAGTCCAGAGGAGGCATCTTCAGTCTGGTGCAGTGAGTGTTTCCATGCTGTCATAGGTGTACTAGTCTTTATCCAACTGCTTGACATCTCTAAGGAGGCTTCGATCTTCTAACTCGGCTGCTTTCAAGGTCCAGCAAGTATAAGAATCACCTGAAGAGCTTGCTGAAAAGATTGCTGTAACCCACACCCAGAGTTTCTGATTTAGTGCATCTAGGGTGGGACATGATCTTTTGCATTTATAAATTCCCAGGTGATGCTAAGACTGCTAAACTGGGAAGCACCCTTTGAGGACCACAGCTCTAGCTTCACAACCATTTTCATGATCAGAAAATGCAGAGGGAAAAAGGAGATAGAGGATGCCAACAGTTTGGTTTTTGTTTTATTTTGGTGCTCCTGGGAATTGAACCAAGGGCCTTGCGCTTGCTAGGCAAACACTAAAAGCAGTGTTCACTTGGTGAAGAAGGGGAAAGTAGCTGTTGGGTAGGCAAATCAGAGTCTGCCACAGAAGAGAGAAAGCTAGATGCAAAGAACCTGTGCAAAGATATTCAGGGCAGAGAAAACTTGGATTGCAAAAGCTTTCATGACAGAGAGAATCACCTGTGAAGGGGTGAGTAGTAGCAGACAGGCTGGAGAGGTAGACAAGGACCAGATCACAGAGGTCTTGACAAAGAGCTTCAATTTTATTTAAAGTGCAGTAGGAAATCATTGAAAGGTTTAAGCAACTGAATAAGGTAAATTTCCTTTTTTACATTGGGATGACTTTAAAAACTATATTCACAGTTACTCTTTATATAAGTGCATAAATGTAATTATGTTTCTTAAGTGCAGGTTTTTTCTTTTTCTTTTTGTGGGGTCCCTGGGCCACTGTTCTCCCCTCCTCCACCCACAGTATTCACTTCTAACCAAGTATTTATCCTTCCATTTAATCAACATTCTGAAATATTCATACAACAAAGCACACACATATGCATACATAAGCATGAATTCCTATTTGTTTTATAAAAATGAGATCATTCTGTGTATACCTTTCAATATATTGCTTTTCCCCTTCAAAAATAGTGAAACTTGGGCTGGAGATGTAGTAACTCAGTGAGCCCTTGCCCAGCATGTGCTGGGTTATATCCCCTGCACTGCCAAAAAAAATGTGAAATTCTTTCAAGTGAATAATTCCTATTAATACCAAATAATACCTTCCTAAGGTATGATTAACATTCTATAGTATGGCAGAACCACTACATAAACTTCATCAGATTATGCATCACACAATTCAAATTGTGTGTGCAAGGATCCCTGGAGTGTGTAGTGCATGGCAGTTCTTATGAGTGTTATTTGTTATGAATTATTTAACCAATCAGGAATTTCTTTTGATCTTTTGATTGACGTGTTGTTTAATTTTCAATCTTTGCTATTTTTCTGTTTAGTTCTATCAATTGTTGAGAAAGGAGTGTTGCTAACTATAACTATGAGTTTACTTATTCTTTTAGTTTTGTCAGGTTTTGCTTCATGTACTTTGAAACTCTTTTGGATGCACACACATTTTTATACTGGTTTTCCCCTTCAAAAGTAATGAAACTGGGGCCAAGCATGGTGGCTCAAACTTGTAAACCTCGCTACTTGGGAGACAGACATCAGGAGGATGTTAGTTTGAGGACCAAGTCCCCATATCAACCAATGAGTGGCACATGCTACATGGGAAGCATAAATAAGAGGACTGTGGTCCAGGCCAACCCCAGGCATAAGTCAGATCCTATCTCAAAAAATGACCAATGCAAAAAGGGCTGAAGGAATGGCTCAAGGGATAGAGCACCCGCCTAGCAATTTTGAGTCCCTAAATTCAACCCCTAGTATTGCCAAAAAAAGGAAAGAAAATATAGTCTTCTTGGTAATTAACAATATTATTGTTATGCAGTATCCTTCTATATCCTTAGTCATCTTTTGCTCTGAAGTTTGTGATAGCTAATGTTAATGTAGTCACTCCAGCTTTCTTTTGATTAGTGTTTACATGGTATATTATAATTTCATCTTTTTATTTTTAAGATACATGTATAATTATATTTGATTTGAGTTTCTAATTATATTTTATTTGAGTTTCTTATAGGTAGTATATAGTTTGTTAATGGTACTTTTATATCCTCTGATAAATCTTTCTTAATTGTTATATTTCGACAACTTACATTTAATGTAATTATTGATACAGTTGAATGACTGACTTAGACTTTATATGTATGCATACACTTTATGTGTATTCCATTTATTTGCTCTGTTTTTTTCCACTATTTTCTCTTTCTGATTTCGTAGGTTATTTGAACATTTCTCACTACTTCCTTTTAATATATGTTACTTTTGACTATGTTTTGAAAGTTTTTCTAGGGATTATGCCATACATGCTTAAGTTTTCAGTCTATGTAGACTCTACTTTTTACCACTTCAGGCAGAAAGTAGAAATCTCACCACATGCAGATGTCTTTACGCTTCTACCTTTATGGTGTAGTTGTCATATGGTTGTATCTATTAAAATATACATTGAAAACACTAGAAGGCAAACATGTTTGCTTTCAACCATCAGATTTATTTTAAAGAACTCAAGTATAGAAGAATATTTGCCCAAACATTTATCCCTCTGTTCTTTCTTCATTCCTGATGTGCCAGGTTTCCGGCCAGTGTCATTTCCCTCCTGTTTAAAAACATCCTTTTGCAGTTCTTTTAGAGCAGGTCTGCTGACAGCAAAATCTTTATTTTTCCTTCATCTGTAAATGTCTTTACTTCAATTTCATTTTTTTTTCTTGGAAACGTATCTCTCTATGGAGCTTAGGCTGGCTTTGAATTCATGATCCTCCTGCCTCAGTCTCCCCAGTGCTGGGATTACAGATGTACTCCTGTTTCATCTCTGAAGTATTTTTTTTTTCAGAGTAAGGAATTCTTATTTCTCTGATCTCTTTGGTTTCTATTGAGATATCCACCATCCTTTCAATCTTTCATTGTTCTCTTGGAAATAATGTTTTCTTTTTCTCTGGTCATATTCAAGAATTTTTCTTTTCCTGTAGTTTTTAGTAGTTTTATTATAATGCATATGGGTACAGATTTCTTTGGGTTTTTTGTCATTAGCATCATCTAAATATCTTGATTCTGTAAGTTTAGGGTATTTTTTTTTCCTCAA